AGAATGGTGGCCATTCTACGTGTGTGTGTGTGTGTGTGTGTGTGTGTGTGTTTCTGTGTATCTGCCTGTATTTATATTTATATCTAGAAAATATATATTTATAAATGAAACATACATATACACACATATATATACATACACACACATACACATACATATATTGATATAAAAAATTCTGGAAGGTTCATCTTGCTGGAAGATATATGTCTTCGTATGTGTACTTGGAAGATATATACCTTGCTTTCTCCCTTGCTTTTGACAGATATTCTGAACTCACCATACCTTTTAGATATTGAACTATAAAGACTTCTACATTTCTATTTTATTTTATTTATTTATTTGTCTATTTTTTGAGATGGAGTTTCACTCCTGTGTCCCAGGCTGGAGTGCAATGGTTCAATCTTGGCTCACCGCAACCTCCACCTCCCGTGTTCATGCGATTCTCCTGCCTCAGCCTCCCGAGTAGCTGGGATTATAGGGGTGTACCACCACACCTAGTTAGTTTTGTATTTTTAGTAGAGACGGGGCTTTTCCATGTTGGTCAGGCTGGTCTCAAACTCTCAAACTCAGGTGATCTGCTTGCCTTGGCCTCCCAAAGTGCTGGTATTACAGGCATGAGCCACTGTACGCAGCCTCTACATTCCTGTTTTATACCTTTAGAATTGTGAGCATTTTAATAAAAATTCCCCTGACATTTCTCAAATACTGTATACATCATCTTCCCTACTTTTTTTCTTCATGGAGAGATATGAGACAGTGTTGAGCAATCCAGAATAAGCTAGAATATACGGAGGTAAGAATGGATTTGTTGTGTGAAACGCGATGTGACGCCACCTGTATGTTCTCTACATCACCCTTCAAGGAGGTGAGGATGGCAAAGACCGTTGATGCACAGTCATAGCATGAACAAATAATAACGACTTACCATGTGCCAGGCTCTTCTGCAGGCACTTGAGATAGATAATTGTATTTAATCTTCATAGCTAACTTAGGGACTAGGTGTTACTGTTATCCCAGTTTTACAGAGGAGGCAACTGAGTCACAATAAGCTGAAATGATGCACTCCAGGTGGCGGAATGAGCATGAAGCAGAGCCAGTAGTAGGCACCACTGTCTTTTGGTCTCAGGAATCTTTTGCTTTCTTCTCATAAAAATTTGGAGTGGCTCTCTCTATTGGGTCTCTTTATCTATTTATTTATTTAGAGACAGAGTCTCTCCCCGTCACCCAGGCTGGAATACAGAGGCACTATCTTGGTTCACTGCAACAACCTCTGCCGCCCGGGTTCAAGCAATTCTCCTGCCTCAGCCTCCCGAGTAGCTGGGATTACAGGTATCCGCCACCACACCTAGCTAATTTTTTTGTATCTTTAGTAGAGATGCGGTTTCACTATGTTGGCCAGGCTGGAATCAAACTCCTGACCTCATGATCCACCTGCCTTGGCCTCCCAAAGTGCTGGGATTACAGGCGTGAGCCACTGCGCCTGATGCCACTGTGGGTTCTTCTGAGTGTCGCCATTAACAAGGAGCGTGTCCTACCCCGTGAAAGTGCACATGACAACATTATGCACTTCTTTCTGAAATCCCTGTTTTCCCTACGCTGCCAATTGGTGCTTCACACGGTTTTCTTCCTCATCCCACATCAGCAGCTTGTTGCTCCTGCCTGAGCTTTGGAAGTTCTGCCTCAAGGCAGGTGATAAAACCAGGGCAACATGAATGGAGTGGGGACTTCAGTGTTGGCACGTGGAACCAAAACTTGGGTTATGCTGAATTGTCAGCCGGTCTTTATGTCGCTGTAGGTTTACCCCTTCTTGGATGTTCTTATGTATTTGAAATTAGGTAAAGCTAAAATTGTGAATATGTAGATAAAAATTATGTAACAACATGAAAGAGGGAGCTGGGGTGTCTTGCTTTCCTATGTTGGGGACCAATGCCTGGATGTTTTTTGGTGTACCTTTTGGACAAGTAGGATGATTGCTGTTGAAAAAAAAATGGATTATGGTGCCAGGAGCAGAAAGCAAAGATGTTTTCAAAGAGTCGGAAAGACTGTGTTCCAACCACAAAGCCACCTGTCTTCCTCCAGTTACTGGGGTTGCCTAAATCCTCAATTCCTACTTTGAAATGCAAACACTTGTTGTTCCAACTTACCTTTTGGCCCACCAGAATACATTAGGAAAATCTATCAGTATGGCAGGTAAAAGTAGCACAAAGTAAGATTCATTTGTGTCTTGATTTGGGGGACATAAATGTCATGTTTGCTTTACATGTCGTGGTTGCCACCTCACACAGCCTCTTTGAAGTTGTTTCCGCCATTCTGCACCCTTCCTTTTCTTCTCTTTGTAAGCTTGGGTTTCTCATTCATTGACTGTTTCTCTCTTGAAGGTTTAGTCTTCAAGAGATTATGTGTATGAGGCTTGTATTATGTACCCTGAATGATAAATATTGAAAATATCTCACAGCTCACTGGATCCCTCTTAATCCAGGCTTTTGAGAAAATGGTGCTGGGACCACCCCTGGAAGCTCAGCCTGCCCAAACCCCACGAATCTTCAGTCTGCAAGGGCAGAACCAGATAATGAAGATAGCATGCTAGCAGAAAGTAGTTTTCTGATCTAGTCCTTGCCACACATACCAAAATGTTGCAGCTTTCCTGTGGGTTTTATTTCCTGTGATTACATTTATCGTGCTGGTTCCTAATGTAGAGCTTCTCAGTTCTCTGGGTTTGCAGATCTGCATCCACATCTCCTTTCAATTCATGGTACTCATTTAATTCTCACATGCCAGTAATTCCTCTGCTCTGTGATCTAAGCTTCCACTCATGCCCTTATCCTTTAGCTCTTAAATTGCTGGTAAAGTATATGTTCATCTATTTTACCACTTAGGGCATTGTCATATGCAACAGGTTTATTCACCATTTATTGAACAAATGTTTATCAGTTAGTCATATGTACCAGGCCACGTTTACACATGACAGGCACATCAATAGATAAAAGAGGAAGAGCCTGTTGGAAATAGATGCTCGGTGCTGCAAAGAAAAATCAGCACTGAGACAAAGGATCTTCCAGCAATGCAATTTTTACCTCCTGGACTGCAGGAACGGTACCCTTGCTAGCCATCTTGCCACAAGAGTACAATGAACAAAGGAAAAGCATACAGATTTATCCCTTAAGCATTTGGGGTCGTCCTTACTGCTGTGTCTGATTTCCATTGGTTGGAGCCAGACCTCACAATCTAAACTAAAACCCGATTGGCTAATAAATTAAAACTTTTCTACACAGGTAAAAACAATGGAGACATGGGACATGCCTGTGAGCACATCCAGCACAGGTAGAATGTACTACGTGCCTGTAAGCATGGCATGTTTAACAGCTACATAGGATAGGGCTTAACAAACTTATTAGCACACTTATTCTTTAACAAGAAAGAAAACTTTAAAAAGGAACTTTTTTACTTTCCACAGAGCACATGCCCTCTGTTTTAACGTTTGTAGTAGCATAGGTTATAAAGGTTAAAAGAAAAACCCAGAAGCAACCTAGCCTGTCATCAAAATGAGAAGGTAAAGATGAATTGTGGTAACATAACATAATGGAATACTATAGAGTGATGAAAAATAAACTAGAATGAATCTCACAACTTTAATGTTGGGAAAAAAACGAGTAGCAATTGGATATGTTATCACCTGTGTAAAATTGAAACATGGAAAATAATGTGAAATAAATTAGTATATTTATTAGGGATACATAGGTATATGCATGTAGGTATGTGTGTGCATGTATATATGTATATGTGTGTGTGTGTGTGTGTCTGTGTGTGTGTGTGTGTGTGTGTGTGTTTGTGAGGGATAACTAGGGGATTTCTAATCTATTGGTAATATTTACTAATCTGGGTATAGGAAGCAGATATGTGTTGTATTAAATATTTTACTGCTTATGTGTCTTAAGTATGCCGTTTTAATTTTTTTATAAACAAAATTGATATGTTCACTTCAAATTCACCAAATTTTAAAAGATTCATTTGATTCCTTAGATATATTCTGCTGACCTTGCTGGGTGGGATAGTGGAAAGATTGAGAGGATTGGTTAAAATAGTGGGAAAACCTTGTTAAAGAAAAAGAAAGGAGGCATTGTTTGAGAACTCTTGCCTTATACACAGCATCACTACCCAGCAGTGCAACTATTCATTATCCCTAGCATTGAGGAAAGAATGGCTAATTCAGTTGCAAGTTCTAGTTTATATGAATTCCTCTCTTTAGTCCTAAAGTTGTTGGGAGGGAAGAGATCTTTCCATGACCTCGAAGACTTGTAGGAAACATCTGTGTTGCTACTTCCATGTTCCCCTACATTCTTTCCTTTATAAGTTTTAATTACCCTCCAACGTACACCTCATATAAAGTTTTTCAATATCATTCATTTTCTACTCACCTTCTATGTACATAAATATATATATGTATATATTTAAAACTCTTAACTTTCTTAGTGTCAGTTGCAGACATATTGCCTGGTTAACTGTGAATACTTCAGTGTGTTCCTAAAAACAAGGACGTAACCACAATACAGTAACAAAATCAAGAAATTTAACACACGGATATAGTCCTCTGTTCTCATCCACTGTTTGTTTTCCAGTTTCATCAGTTGTCCCCATAATGACCTTGATGGCAGTTTTGCTTGTGGTCCAGAATTTAATCCATCATGCATTTCATTTAGTTGTCAAGTGTCTTTACTGACCATTAATCCACACCAGCAAAACAGTCTTGCTTGGTCTTTTATGATCTTGACATTTTTTAAGAACATATACCCTCGACTGTCCATTGCCAAATCACCTGAGGAGAGCGCTTCCATTTTAACTATTCATGTTTGCAAGTTTAGTTGTTTTACCTGCTACAAAAAAGTATGAGTCTAAAAAGGAATAAAATTTTGACACAATTAAACATGGACAAACCTTGAAACATTATGCTAAGCGAAATAAACCTGTCACAAAAGGGCAAATATTGTATGATTCTGCTTACATGAGGTACTTGGGTAGTCAAATTCACAGAAACAGAAAGTAAAGTAGTGGTTACCAGGGACTGGGGGAGGATAGAAAGGGGAGTTGGTGCTTAACGGGTATAGAATTTCAGTTTAGGAAGATGAGAAATTTTTAGAGTACTGATGATAGTTGCACAAGAATGTAAATGTTCTTAATGCCATTGAATTGTATACTTTAAAATGATTAAAATGCTAAGTTTTATGTAATCTTTATTTTTGTTACAATTTTTTACAAGAGAGTGGGTCCTCAATATGTAAATATGATGTAAATTAAAAAATAACAACAACAAAAAGAACACAGGGCAGCTCTTTAGTTTGCAGATGACCCTTAATTTGGGTTTCTCAGCTGTTTCCTTATGATCCCAGTTAGGGTATACATTTTTGTCACAGATACCCCAGGAGTAATAATGTCCTGTTTTTCCCAGGGTCCCATATTAAGAGGCATATGATATTGGTTTCTCTGTTATTGGTGATATTAACATCAGCCCTTTGGATCATATGATGTCTCTTAGATATATCTCCTAAAAACTTTCCCACTGTAATTAATAAGTAGTTTGGGGGTGGGAGAAATGGTTTTAGACTTTTAAAATACCTGTTTGCCTTCAATCCTTCATTCACTAGTTTTACCATTCATTGATGATTTTTGTCTGAGTCAATTTATGATTATTATGAGTATCAAATGATGGCTTTCTAACTCCATCACACTTATATTTATGGGTTGACATTCTATTTCCTTTCCTATACAGATTCATTTAATTATTTATTTTCATATAGCATAATGGATTCATGTTTTATTCAATGGATTACAATCAATTACTTTCATTATTTGTTTTGATGCTCAAATTGTATCATATTTATTCACTGGGAATCCCTTCATGCTGGGCCCTGTATCCTGTTGACATAAATCCATTGGCACCAGAAGTTATTCCAGGTTCACCTTAGTTGTCTTGCCCCAGTCCTAGAGCCACCCACTTTTCCACAGTGCAATCATTCCTTTTTTTGGAGAACAGTACTTAGAAACACAGTTCTAGGTGATTATGGCTTCTGGGCCTTCTAAATAGACAATATGGATAGAACTAGGAAAAAAAATACACACATGCACACACACACATGTATATATAATTATCTTTTAAAAGCCAAGAATTTGTTAGTCCTTCCTAAAAATTATGTTCATCCCAACAGGATACATTATCTAGGTTAAATTTTCCCTGCCTGTCTGATATCGCTTATTATTACTAGTTATCTTTTATCTGTCTATTAAGCTGTGAGATCCTTCAGAAGAGAGACTTCATATTTTTTGTCATCTTTGTATCCCCATTGCCTAGGAAAATATCTGGTACAGATTAGATACTAATATTAATTCCTAGGATTGTTGGGTGAAATGATGGTTGGATGAAATGATGGTTATTTAGGATCATTGGGTAGGAGGATTGTTGGGTAGAATGGAGATTGGGTGGAAGTGTAGTCAGATGGGAGGATGGTTGGTTAGGATCTTTGGGTAGGAGGATGGTTGGGTAGAATGGAGGTGGGTGGAAGTGTATAGTTGGTTGGAAGGATAGTTGGTTAGGATCATTGGGTAGGAGGACTGTTGGGTAGAATGGAGATTGGGTGGAAGTATAGTCAGATGGGAGGATGCTTGGTTAGGATCTTTGGGTAGGAGGATGGTTGGGTGGAAGGGAAATTGAGTGGAAGTATAATTGACTGGGAGGATGGTTGGTTAGGATCTTTGGATAAGAGAACCGTTGGGTGGAATGGAGGTGGGTGGAAGTGTATAGTTGGTTGGAAGGATAGTTGGTTAGGATCATTGCGTAGGAGGACTGTTGGGTAGAATGGAGATTGGGTAGAAGTATATGGGAGGGTGGTTGGTAAGGATCTTTGGGTAGGAGGATGGTTGGGTGGAATGAAGTTTGGGTAGAAGTATAGTTGGATGGAAGAATGGTTGTCATGCAAGAGGATTTGGGTTAGGGGATGGTTGCATGAGAGGAGTTGTTAAATGGAAGAATTACTAAGATAAAGGATTATATGGGAAGACGCTTTTGTGGGAGGTGATCTGCATGTCTTATTTAGCAATGTATGCCTTTTTTGTTATACTTGTGTACTCACTGCATTCAGGAATTGTTTAAGAAATTATTTTGGTTCCATTTGGTCTTTCAGATAGTAGGTGTTCATTCAGTATCTATTGATTGTCTGAATATGACTTTCAGGAATAGCAATGGATGATTTATCTTTGGATTCTTGGCATTCTCCATAGTGCTCAGCTTGGCATAAATACATATTTAATATTCATTTTGACAGTAAGTCAGATAAAAAACCACAGCAACATAATATCTCCCCTATTTAGCTTATCAAGAAAACTAAGGCTATGTATTAGTTCCTTCAATACTGAGTGTAGACTTGATTCATTCTCTCTGGATATGTAGTTGCTCCCAAAGTATTCAAGTAGTGGTCACTACTTGGCAAGTATTTCAAGAATGGAGGGCATTGTTTAGCTTTGTAATTATTCATTGGCTCATGTAATCAGGAAACAAACTTTCACGTTGGAAGAAGGGTTACACCACACAATCTGGGACCATTTCATTATCAGGCAATTGAGGCTAGAAATAATTCTCCTAGGGGTGGCTAGATGTTCTGAATACCTATTTTATCCATTTCTGTTTTCTCATACTAACGAAATAAGTAGTGAATTCTTCTCACATTGATATTGAGAAAGGAAAGGAAACCCAATATTTTGGGCTATTTTGCTTTTTGATTTTTGGATCTGCTATGTGTTCTGGTGTCTGAAGAGAAAATTTTCATCTTTGAACCTTAGAAGTGAAGATAAGTGCTGTGTAATGTATGTAAGAACAAGAAGAGACAGTGCTCTAGCCGAAAATGTCTTTTTTCCCAGTAGTTTACATCCTGGCCAAGTGTTCTTGTGCAAAGCAACCAAGTAACTTTTTCCCATCCAGCTATAAGAACGAAGAGACTGTTATTGCTACCGGCTGGTATTGAGTAATCGTACATAGGTGGGGTGGGTTGAAGGCAATCTGAATTATAAAACGCCTTCCTTTGAAGTGAAATCAATTTTTATTCTTAATCTGTGAACATGAGATGGGAACAAATAACTTCTGAGTGAAATAAAGATTTCTTAGCCTGTCAAGATTTATCTTATCAAGCTGAAGAGGTGGGATTCCTGTTAGCAACTGGCAGTTTTAAAAATCCATTCGCCTGAGGAAGTGTGAAAACAGTCTGCAGAACAAAGACACTGAGCTGTTGCTGCATTGAGTGCTGATTTGCTCCTTTTTTTACATTTCCTGCTTGAGACCTCGCCAGGTCCAACTTTAAAACATTTGCAGGCTAATGGGAGTATGTGCACAGGGAGTATCAGAAATCATTTCCTTAGGGGAGGAGGTGTTTTGTGGTGCAAAATGTTGAGGTTCTGTTGCCAAAACACCAACTGAAATAGGGTATTTTCTGTGAACTTCATGGGTGGCTTTCAGAGGGAATTCTCCATGTCATTCTCTGATGTCTCTTATTGGTCCTTGTTTTGCCAGAGTGGAAGAAAAAAAAAAGCACCTTCCTCGTTTTATTTCTCTTTTAACAAAGAAAGCCAGAAAAATTCTGTAAATGAAAGTCATGCACATGTGGAACTTTGGATGCAGCTCTAGAGTATTTTTTTTTTTACCCTCGTACAAAACAAAGCCAAAAGAATAAAACTAGTATTTCTCTAACATTTTTGGGCAGAAGATCGTTTCTGGGCAGGGGGAAAGTGCTAAAGCCTGTGTAGTGTCTCTCTCAGCTTGTTTGAAAATACTCTAGGAATATAAGAGACCCCTGTGGATTCTCTGCCCCTTCTGTGATGTGTGCAATCATGTCATTGCTGGACGGCCCCCTTGGAAGCCGGCCAGCCCAGCCTCTTCAGCATCCAGATGGGAACCCGGAGGCGCATCTCACAGCGGACTGTTGATTAGCTCAAGGTCATCTGGCTCTGGTTTGTGGCAGAGCTAGAACGAGTACCCAGAGGTTTCCAGAACTTCAACACAAAGGGTATCCATGATGAACAGAAATTTCCCTAGCCCTTCTCTCTCGCGTCCCCTGCATAAACAGTGCAAATAACACACTCCCTCCTTGGCCAGGACCCAAAGAACTATTATCATACAGATGTCTTCCTGTGCTTTGGGGGACCAGCAGGGCTGCCAGTGAACTTGGATGACTCTTTGGATCACCCTACTGCCTCCAGCTCCCCTCTCCCATTTATTTCATGACTTTCATGAGTCAGTCGTTCTATTTGAGCTCATTTGCCACGTGTATAGGGGTACATTCCATGACTTCTCAGACCAAGGCAAGCCCCGTTCAATGATTTATTCTTCTTTTATGATGATCTCTCCTGTCACATTTATCCCAGTGGAAATTTCATATTGATATCTGTGATTCTTTGAGTGTCGTCTCTTTCCCCCTAGACTTAAGATCCTCAAGATCAGTGGTCTTGTCATTTATGTTCGCCCTTAAGTTCTATAGCCTGGCACTTAGTGGGGAGGTGTGTTTTGTTTTTTTGTATTTTTGTGAGACAGAATCTTGCTTTGTCACCCAGGCTGGAGTGCAGTGGTGTGATCTTGGCTCACTATAACCTCTGCCTCCTGGGTTCAAGAGATTCTTCTGTCTCACTCACCACCACACCTAATTTTTGTATTTTTTGTAGAGATGGGGTTTCACCGTATTACCCAAGCTGGTCTAGAACTCCTGACCTTGTGATCTGCCTGCCTTGGCACCCGAAAGTGCTAAGATTATAGATGTGAGCTATTGTGCCAGGCCTGTTTTGTTTTGTTTTGTTTTTTTTTGGCAAGGGCCATAGCAAAGTATCACGCTCTAGGTGGGAAAAAAAAAAAAAAAAAAAAAGACACGCATTCTGTCACTGTTCTAGAACTCAGAAGGCTGAAATCAAGGGGCGTGATCCCTCTGAAGCCATTAAGGGCAAATTCTTCCTTGCCTTTTCCAGTTTCTGGTAGTTGCTGGCATTCCCTGGTGTTCTGTGGCTTGCAGCTGCATTTTCGAAAGCTGCATCACTCCCAGCCTCTGTTTACATTGGCGTCTGTTCACATCATCTGTCTTCTACGTGTGCATCTCTGTGTCCAGATTTTCTTCCGTTTGTAAAACCACCAGTTCTTGGTTTAGGGCCCCAACTAATGGTTTCATGACCCCTGTGTTAGTTTCCTAGACTGCAGTAAGAAGCATCGCAAGCTCAGTGGCTTAAAACTACAGAAATACATTTTCTCACAGTCCTGGACGCTAGAAGTCTGAAATCAGGGTATTAGCAGGGCCGTGCCTTCTTCAAAGGACCCAGGGAAGAATTCTTGCTTTCCTCTTCCAACTTATAGTAGTTGTTGGGAATCTGGCAACCCTCAGCTTCGAAATGTGTCACTCTGGTCTCTGGCATGGCCATCACCTGGCCTTCCCTGTGTCTCAGTGTCTCCAAACTTCCCTCTTCTTACAGAGATACCGGTCCTCAGACCGGGCACGTCAGCTCACACATGTAATCCCAGTAGTTTGGGAAGCTGAGGCAGGTGGATCATTTTGAGCTCAGGAGTTCGAGACCAGCTTGGGCAATGTGGAAAAACTCCATCTCTACAAAAAAAAAAAAATTTTTTTTAAATTAGCTGGTCACAGTGGCTTGTGCTTGTAGGCCCAGCTACTTGGAGGCTGAGGTTAGAGGATCACTTCAGCCTGGGAAGGGGAGGTTGCAGTGAGCCAAGGTCATGCAGCTGCCACTCCAGCTGGGCAACAGAGTGAGACCCTGTCTTAAAAAGGAAAAAATGATATCAGTCCCTAGAGTTAGGGCTTATCTTAATTCAATATGACCTCATCTTAATTACATCTATAAATGTCACATTCTGACATTCTGGGGTGCCGTGGATTTCTGGGGGATGTCATCCAACCCAGTGTACAAGGCAGTACACATTTACTGAATGCATGAATGAATGACAGCACTGTGAGCCCCAGCAAGTCTCAGCTTGGAGAATTGAGTTGACGTGCCTGCGTAGAATCTAGAACAACAGGCACTTCAGTGGAATTTGGGAAGGGTCAGGGTCTGTGTTGACAGAAATGGGAGAAATCCTCCGAGCGCCTCACCCTCTCTTAAAAGACTCCTCAAGATTGCTTTGCTGTTCACTCCTCTGCAGAGTGTTTTTAATATGTCTATTTAAATGCAAATTTTGACTTTCTGTCTGTAATCATATAAAATGTTTGGCACTAAAATTTTAATCAGGAATGTAATTTTATATAGAGGCAGTAATGGAGTGGTAGCCACACATAGCAGAGAGAAGCTTCTCCGGCGTGGATCCCCAGCCTTCGGAAGTGCCGGCCTCCCTGCTCCCAGCTGAGCCAGGAAAGCCCTGCTTGGCTCCAAGAGGTGCTTCTCAAAGATGATTCCTGATCTCAGGCATGTCTCGTGGCCTGTCACCAATCTTGGTGCTTCATTGTCCTTTAAAATCCAAATGGGGTGATCAGGTGTTCTTCCTCTGTGTCCTCCGGTCTTCTAGCATCCCGGATAGGCCATGGATGTTTAGAAAGAGTGACTCCACCCTGCCCCAGCCTAAGATGATGGCTCATTTATCAAGACCAGGCTGGAGGCTCAGCCACCAGAGCTTCTGTTGTTTGGGAGGAAGGCTGCCAGCAGCAGATGTTTGTCCTCGCCTCAGCTCCCTGCAGCCTTTGAGCTCCATCTGCCACACACTTAGGCACAGCTGCCAGTGTTTCCCCTCCGTACTCACCTTTCCCCTCTCATGGAGGCCAGGGCTTCATGTATCTGGGCCCAACAGGGAGATGGCGGCCCAGACCGTGTGACTCTGGTGCCACGATCTTTCCCAGCAGCTCGCTGGGCGTCTTTCTGCGCGAGCCTGCCAGCGTGCAGTGGAGGTTGTTGAGCAGGGTTGCAGTTACAGCCCGTCACTCTGGTCTTGCTGTCCCAACTTGTTAGGGCAAGAGAGTCAGATCACACAGAGCCATCTCCAGACTGTATCATCTGGCGGAGTGGGAGCATGCACGTGTCCTCCGGTTTCTAACTAAGGTGTGCATTGTCTCAGGGCCTTTGCAGTGTCTGCTCCCTGGTCCTCAGTGCTCTTCCTCATTGGTCATCCCAGAGCTCAGCCCAAATGTCCCCCTTCAGAGGGTCAGCGGTCGGTCTTCCCAATTAAACTATCTGCTACCTCACCTCCCATCACTCATGGTCTCAACAACCTCTTTATGTCCCTCATTGCCATTATCTCAATCTGTAGTTCTCATCTTTATATTGTCTCTTGAATGGTTCTTTGGGAGGATTACTCTTCCTAGAGGGTGCAAAATGGATTGCAGGGATGGTGAGAGGTGGGCGGAAATGTTGGAGACGGGACGAGGGTGGAACTGGTAGCGCTGATCTTCTTGAGTGAGGATTGGCCCTGAAAAAAGAAAGTAGCGATGGAGAAGGAAGTAATTAGACACAGAAGTGAACTCTTCACGTGGGAGGTGAGGAGAATGGGTGATTGCGATTGTGTGTTAGGACTGGGGAAGAAGGAGGAGGAGGCCCAGCTTTCTAAACTGGGGATTTGAGTGGATGGGGATGACTTGCCGAAAATAAAGAGTAGGTTTGAGTAGAAGGATGCTGTGCTCATTTGGGAAATGTTGAGTTCTGGGCCCCTGTAGAAGACCCAGCTGAGATTCGCAGGAAGGTATCCAATGGAGAAGTCATCAGAGAGGTGATGGTACTTGAAGCCGTGAGAGTGGAAGGTGCTTCCCTGGGAGAGAGGCAGGATGAAAAAATAAGGTGGCCCCAAATTAGGGGCCACACCTCCCAGTTTGCCAAGATATTCCTGCCTTCTATCTGTTGTTCCAGCAAATTTCTAATAGTCCTGGCCCCACCCTTTCACTCTCACGTGTCCCAGTTTAAACAGTAGACCATCTTATGTGGTCACCCTACCCACATAAGAAGGTTGGGGAAATTCAGAGTTTATAGGAGGCCATAAGAACCCACTGAAAAAAAACTGAGTTTGAACAGGGGGGTGGAAAGAAAAACCAAGGTAGTGTTGGGTAATGCATGCCAAGGGCATGAAATTGCCAAGGGAAGAATGATTCATGTCATACGGGTCACAGATGAAGTCATGCAAGGATCAGAAGAAGTGCATTGGATTTAGCTACAAAGTCTTGATGACCTTGTAATCAGGATGGTGGGAATGTGCCAGAGGTGGGTGGGTTTGAGGAGCAAAGGGATGATGAGGAAGTAGAGACAGTCAGTTCCTCTAAGCTTTGCTGTGCAAGAAAGGAGAGATATTAGAGGAGTTTGCAGACATGGGTATGGGAGAACAAGAGACGCTTCATGGGATGGGAGGCATTTGAGTGTGCCTTGGTACTGGAAGGGGGCCTGATGGAGACAGCTTCAGGAGAGAGGGTGTCCACAGGATAGAGCAATGTTCCCGAGGGAGAGAGAGCAGATGCGAGAAGGGACACCTTCCCTGCAAACAGGCAAGAAAGAGCAAGTTTGGGTGTAAGGAAGTCCGTAGGCTTCATGGTGGGGATTTGCAGAGTAGCATGTATTTTATCCTCT